ATTTATATCATAGTAGACAATGAAAGTTAGAACTAATGAAATGTACCACGAAACATTGTCAACCACCTCAAAACAAAAAACATATAGTATTATAATAAAAAACTTAAATTCACCAACAAATTTTATTCGAACAATGATATTTCAGCTAGTGCTCTCAATTTGAAATCATAGTGACATTGCGAGGTTGTGAGTTTTTTTCAACTGTAGGATGTCTCACTTCAGTCTACTTTTGTACAGTGCTCCAAAAGCTTCAGCCCCAGCTTGCATCACTTCATCATAGCCGAAGGACTCCATGGCCGTCTTGGTTTTCTGGAACCACTGGAAAAGGTTCTGATGTGCGGAAATATCACATGAGCCGCATGCCTAAAAAGTTTACGTCCATATATAATTTGTCGCCTGAAGTGAATAATTTTTTAACAGCATTAAAATAGTTATGAAGCAAAGAAATTAGGAAACGGGGATAAAGTAAGGTGTATTTCAGGGATGGACAAACAGTTTTCACAATTTTCACTGAGAGTAGATCTCCCATTGTAAGAAATGTAGAGATCTACAACTTTTGTGAGACACATTTTTACACACACGTGAAAATTCGATTCTTTGGTTTTTGATTTTTTTCTCATACAAAATTCATTTGTTAATTACCGTATTGTATTTTTTCAATGAATATGTTCAGTTCAACTTTTTCCGATGCGATTTTAAAAAATCGTTTTCAAATTGATTGAAATTTCTTAAATTTACAGAAATTGGTACTTCTTCTGTCATAGAAAATTTACGAAAATTGTCTCAAATATTACATTATTATTACTATACAAGTATCTATTTTTTTAAATGATTTACAGGTGATATGACGGTAGTATTCACAAGCGACAGCGTGAGAGTGAAAGATGAAATAAAAAGCTAGGTTTAGAAGATCTAACTGTTACATGGATTGTTGAAATCAAAGAAATTGCAGCAAAATCAGCCACTGTCATATTGTTTCCTACAAACCAAGTCTGCCCTTGTACATAGTTGTCCATCATACTGAATGTTTCGTTCAATTTGTTCAGATCTTCTTCTGCTCCTTTAACTCCGTCCTTTATAGTGGGGAGCTGAAAAGAAATTGAAATATTCGGAAAAATGATGTATGACAGATAGTGAAGGTTGTTTCAAAAGTTTGGACCGTTTTATTGTAATGTGCTTTCGTAGCTCCTGCTAATAAATATTTATTATACTGTGTCGCGATATACAGGGTGTTCCAAATTGAGTCGGCACCATATTGCCAACTCCATTACTATTGATGCTACGAATTTGGTTGAATGGGCAAACTAGTAGCATTTTTAATGGCCCTCTCGATGCCGAGAACAAACAAAAATTACTGTCGCGTTTTCAAAATGTTTCATAAAATTATATTTTTTTTAATGGAACACCCTAAATTTCATCATGCATTTCGATTCGTAATAACATTCTCAACAACAAAGCTCATATCACCTT